ATAGGCTAATATATTACATTGACAGTTTTAGAACAGGATACTACTAAATCTTGACAGTTCCCGAATTAAGGTTGTCGCAACAACAAAACTTTTGCTTGTCTTCAAAGTAAAGTTAGTAGTTGTTAAGTTTGTTTTCTGAGACAGCCTCATTATTTCAAAGTGCTCTTCCGTTCAGGATTTCAGCTCCAGAGTTACACATACACTATATTTCTACACTTTAGAACCTAATAATGTAAAGGTTTTTTATTCGCAAAGTAGCATTTTCTAACGGTATATAAAGGCTAGTGACTAGTGAGATCGTTTCGTACGAGACAAATATTGCATCTTATATTGATTGTATTTGTATAAGTGTCCACTATTTTAAGTACTTTATGTATGTACTAGCAAGTATATTTAATTTCAACGCATGAGAGAACAAATAGGTTGATAGGGGGAAGAAACGTTAGGCTCTTCTGATTTACACTATATGGACTACTGAAGCTTTATTGTCGGTTAATTCTGTAAAGATTATAAATGAATTACAGTAGTAAGTTTTTTTTTTACTATCGTAGGAATAGGCCTAAGAAGCGACTATTCGAAACAACAGCACATATTTTTAGGTTAGGCAAATAAATTAAGGCAAACATAAATGTACGTTAAAACATTCTATAATCACAAATTTTAAAGTTTTTAAAATAGTGAAAACATGGTGATTACTTTCAACATGAACTTAAAACGTGTGGTAGCATTGTTTGTACAAGATAATGGAGAAACATGAAAATAAAAACGAATTAAAGAACATCCAACATCGTGAATATTTTATGAAAAAGTTAATATAATAGTTTAGAACTTGCACAAATAAAGAACCTTACGTGGTCTAAAACTTAAGTACAATTACCTCAAACTATGCGAACTTGTTGATCTCATAACTAAGTCAGAAACCACTAATACCAAAACGAATAGTTCATTGGCCACAGAGCATCGACTTTGTTCACTAGTCAGGCTAACATATCACACAGCGTTAAATTTTTAAACAAGTAGCTGCTGTTTAAATAAGCTGGGTTTTTATTCAAAAAAAGTATAAGATAATGCACATTCTTTCGTTTTTTCACTTTCTTTCACAATACCTCTCTTTAATGAAATTGCTTTCATGTTCAAATTGCTATGAATGCAAAGTTTTCTTAACTGTATCTAGGTTTTTCTTGGATTCTTAAAATGTTTTTGTTTTACGTGTCAACCTTTTTTGTGATGCAATTTAACCAAAAGTATTTTTATCTGTGACACTGCTATTATAATCATAATGCGTTCCAAATATGCATATGATAGACATAATACATATTAGCTAGGCGCTACAATTCATTATGAAGGGTTGTGGTTTCTCCAGACCACTCAGTTGACCACGCCTTCCATCAAATCTAGTTACCTCTGTAATGCACTTAGCCCTAACTCTACCCCACGTCCCAAGATATCGTACTGTAAACTTAACAAGAGCTCACCAAATAACAAACACTGCATTCGCAGTTTAACGATAAGTGAAATCTTTGTAAGCCTGGCAATAATCTCAAATGAGGTCAAATTTAATAATCATATACAAATCTGTATACTGAGTTATAAGCTTTGGAATAGGTGCATTTAATTCCTATTTACAGAGCCCACAGCGTCAACTCACAAACATTAGCCGATGTTTAAAATGGACTGAGAGGTAATCGAAAAACAATAATATGATAATATACGAAGGTATTTCTTTAGTGGAATGTTATCAGCTTCAAATTGCTATACGGTGTAACATATGTTGCACCCTTGTAGGGGGCACTCACATATGTTACATTAGGCTAAAAGGTACTACCTGTACTGAAGATTAGTTGCATATGCCATTGTACTAACACAAGGACGAAAGGTATTATTTCACGCAGGTGTCAAGGAGGACTCGTTGGGGGCTTAAGTGGGCTGCGCTAGCGGCGATGCGTCTTCTGCACCTTTATGTGTTCAACAATCTAACGTTTTCACTCAAAATATATTGTTTAAAGTCACCATAACCTAATTTACCTCATTTCTTTTAATGGTATTTCGGTGTCCTTTAAAAGTACCACTAGTTAACCGCCCGTGCTCCGCCACGGGAATATTGTCAGCAATAAAAGAAATAATAATTAACAAATACTGTTTATCTTTGTATTTTATTTAGGGGTTGTTTAATTTTTTACATGAAATAGAACTGATAGTTTGCCTGTATAAACTATTTTATGTTAATCAAGCCAATATATGATTTTAACCAAATGAATGTTTTACCTAATAAGCAGCTATTTATGATATTTAGATATCGTTTTTTTCCATTACATTTGTTGTATGGAATAAAGATAGTCACTTAGCCTACATGTAAATCACGCATCAGCAGTTGGTCGCATTTCACGAATCTTTGACCCATACTGTGAGTAAAATCTGTGTTTACGTCGTATATATAAAGTTGGACATACTTTGTTCAATGTTAGAGGGTATTAACGGTCCAATTTGATGGAAAAGGAGTCGTGGATTTTAAAACTATCTAGACTACCACTACCAGAAAGATGTTGATTCAAGTGAGACTTGGAACTGGCCATTTCAAATGCAGATTTGTACCTATTATATTTTACTCAAATAGTTTTTTGTCTCTTTTGACCCTTAATACTTTTTTTATAGTCGCTGTTGATAAGATTTTCCATAAACTCAAAATGTTAATAAGGAGTTCATTTTACCTTCCCCTTGTGACAACACAAGGAAAAAATATTTGTGTCCCAGTTAGTCTGTTCCGACTCAAAATTCATAGATTTGCAGTACTGACAAATCCAATCTAACGACCCCAATTCAAAAAAATTGGTATTTTTTAGAAGGGACTTCCAGAGCACATTTAACACCATCACTGCTCTTTACCTTTTTAGTTTGATGGTTCTCTAGATGTTTTTTTTCGTTCTGTATGTCTCTTTACGCCCGGTTAATGATTACCTTTTCTTTTTCTTTTTGTACTTTTCACACCCTGGGGTTAATGATAAAGTTTTATAACGCTATAATGACCCGAGTCAACATTGCCATTAAACATCAAGTCAGATACTTCTTCGCCAGACCGAAATCGTAAGCCACAGTTTCTCAAGCAACTTCCCTGTGTACTTTAAAAAAATTCACTGATAAATTGTAGTTTCCAAATATCCCAGCGTACTCGCCATCTCGGGAAGGTAAAATTTGGACGTCGAACACTGATCTTGAGTAAGATTAATCACTTACGATAAAATGTTTGTATGTTTACCAATCATTAGCAATTATCTGTACAACTTGCAAGCTGATTTACCTATGATTGTTCAGGTGGCTATAGAGAATAAATTATATTGATCAAAACAATAAGTTTCCGTCCCCTACTATGGGTATTATTTCACATTCCATACTCAAACTTAAACTCAATTACCACTTTCCTTCAGATCACTTTGCAGGAAAACTAAAACATTTTTGTGTCCCAGTTAGTCTGTTCTGACTCGAAATTCATAGATTTGAAGTAGTGACAAATCCAATCTAACGGCCCCAATTCAAAAGAGTTGGTATTTTTTTGTAGGGACTTCCAAAGCACATTTAACACCAACACTGCTCTTTACCTTTTTAGTTCGATGGTTCTCTACATTTTTTTTCGTTCGGTATGTCTCTTTACGCCCGGTTAATGGTTACCTTTTCTTTTTCTTTTTGTACTTTTCACACCCTGGGGTTAATGATAATGTTTTTTAACGCTTATAATGACCCAAGTCAACATTGCCATTAAACATCAAGTCACATACTTCTTCGCCAGAACCGAATGGTAAGTCACAGTTTCTCAAGCAACTTCCCTGTGTACTTGAAAAAAAAATTCACTGATAAATTGTAGTTCCACGTATCCCAGCGTACTCGCCATCTCGAGAAGGTAAAGTTTGGTACCACTGAACGTCTAACACTGATCTTGAGTAAGATTCGTCACCTACTATAAAATGTTTGTATGTTTCCCACTCATTAGCAATTATATGTACAACTTGCAAGCGGATATTTCTCCATGATTATTCTGGTGGCCGTAGAGAATAAATTATATTGATCAAAACAATAAGTTTCCGTTCCCTACTATGGGTATTATTTCACATTCCGTACTCAAACTTAAACCCAATTATCATTTTCCTTCAGACCACTTTGCAGGAAAACTAAAACATTTCAAAAATAAGTTAACAAATACACTTTCCTTGATCAAAATCGTGTGCTTATAAACAGAAACTCCAAGTTTAATAATTGCAGACTGAAAGTGAGGTTATAAAAATAATAACAAATGTCTGACAAACATTAAACAGCTGACGAATAATTTATAAACTGTGTATTATATTCTCCAATAAGAATTGTATTGACTTGACCTTTAAAGGTCTGCAGGTCGTAGCCCTTAGAAAAAACGTAAATTCTAAGGAAGTTCGGCAAATCTACACACAATCCCCTTTAATTTGACACATAGATCTTGAGGATCGGTCCAGTAATTACTGAGAAAACAGTGTTACAACTGTGTATTACATATATAGATTGCATTTTTTTTATTAAAAAATAAATTTTGGCACATTTTTTGTAAATAAAAGAAATCTTTACTTATAATCACAAGCTTAACTTAATAATCCTTTCACATTTTATTATAATCTAGAACTTATAGAAAACAACAAGTTTATCTTAGTAACTTTGTTAACACAGCTACTCACTCTGAGTACGTATGCCATGCTGAATATGCAATGTACTCATATACAGAATAGCAATGACTTAGTAGAAGTTTACGAAACTAAGGCCATTTCTTTATTTAGCCAGGCCAAATTATTGAAAATCCAACGATGAAAAGAGCTGGGTCAGTTTAGAATAGTCAAACAGAATTCTTGTGACCTAAGTTCTTGTGAAGTCGTACACACAGTTCACTAGCAAGCAATATACAGCATAAACTCAAATACCCAGCTAATATGTTATCAACTCTGAAACTGATTAACAGTCAAACTGACTGGACGATTGTTTCACAGAGATCGTGGAAGGGGTGCGGAATGGGTCCAAGTGCCTCCGACCGACGACTGAACTGCCCTGTGAGGAGGAGGTGACCAGCCTCATGAGGAGATGTTGGGCAGAGGACCCAGCTGACCGTCCAGACTTCACCACCCTCAAGGCGACCATCAGGAGGCTTAACAAGTGAGTGGTTTGGACTGTTGACTAATGATTTAATAAACATTGAGGGTAACAATTTTTCAATTATTACTAATATTGTAGAATCATTTTGCACCATTGCATCAGCAGATTTGACACAACCTTTTTAGGAGGTTATTATGCACTAAACTTAGGGTTGAACACAATTAACCTATAAATTAGGTACCACTAGATCGGTTTAGATATCCTGATTGTATTTTGTTAACTTGACGTATTCTAACCTAAAAAACGTATTTGACGTATAAACTATAGGCACATTATGGGTAAACTACATAGGATATAGGATACAGGATGCTATTGTTGGATAAAGCACTTCAGCCTGTGTATTGGCAATTATTAAAATGGTTTTAGCTTTTAAAACCATTAACACAATTAAAAATGAGCGGGTATACAAGTTTTCCTGTTAACTACAGTCAACAGAGAATAGCAGGTCAAACAACACACCATAAAGTGTCCTCAGTAATAATGTTAAGCGTTTGCACCTGTTGCGTTTCACCGTCCTGTAGTGATACGGTACTAAATTTAGTTCACATCTGAAAATAAAGAACTCTTGTTAAAACTGTATTGCCTCAGTTACTGTAAAATCTTGTTACTGGCGGGTCACGACGTTGCTTTAGCTTGTGTCCGTCCAACAATATTTTATTAGCGCTGCAGCCTGTAGGTCTAAGTCAATTACGATCAAGGGATAGTCAATCAAATCGCAGCTCTCCTACATGTTACGCTGGTTTCATACTTTTATGAAATAGTTTTCAATACGTGTTAGGACTACCTGACCTTAATACAACGGTATTTCATCAAATCTTTACGATGTAGTTTTAATTATAACTTTAACTATGGCTTTTTTCGTTATGACTTATGACGTATGAGTTTTTTCAAACTAATCTTTTCAATTCAGTTCTTAGAATAGAAAATAATCACTTAACAAGATTTTTTACCTACTTAACAGCATAGTTTTGTTACTTTACAGTTCAAGTTTGGACCAACAATGTTCATGGATAGAGAGAAAATAAGTACAATTTTAATGCTTCGAATATCAACTAATCAGCTGTTAAGGCCAATTTTATTGACTATTCAATGCATGAGTGGTTAGGAAAATGAGTCATTGCATTACAATCAGTGACAATGATAGGTTATAAACGAAAATGATATAACTCTCTTAGACGTTATGCGTAGTCATTAACAACGGTCGTAAGTAAAGTAGAGCACGCAACTCGCGTAATTATCCTTTAAGTCATGGCGTAAACTACCATATTAATTACATACGTGTTCAAAGAAATGTTCGAAAGAAGCCAAATTCTACACATGACTGGCTACAAACAATTACATTTTAACTGGTACCTAAATACACTAAATCCTAATATAACTTTTCAACGAAAAAATGCTCTTTGGAAAAACGGTTTGAATGGTACCATACTAGTTTTCAAATGTATTCTAATTATTTAGTTTCTGTTATTTTCACGAGGTTTACTGTGAAAAGTGTTTAAACATATTACGCTTTGTGGTGTCTTTAACAAAAAGATGCTGTTGGATTTTATTTGTAAAACTGATTTATTTCCTTGACATAATGCCCCTGATATGTAAATCCATGATTTAACTAATTTATAATTTAAAAAATCAAATACGGCAGTTCAAAATGAAACACCAATTTAAATTATGTATATAAATTAATGACAAACGTCTAACAACTTATTACTGATAAAGAACTTACACTTTACAAAATCTATTTCAATATAAAAATATAAAAATACATATGATTAGGCCTACTATGAATAAAGATTTAATAGCGAAACATTTGTTAAAAACAAATACATACTGCGAGAATAATGTAAAAAAATATGGTCTCACGAGAATATACAGGGTGTCCAGAATAAATTAATGAAATATATAACGGGAAAATAAAATGAAAAGATAAAGTAAATAAAAAGAAAAAGTAGTCCATATTTTATAGGTAAACCCGTGATATTGCAAATTTTAGGTATTTAAACTGTTTAACCTTGATGTCCTTGAATACGGAATGTATAGTACCAAACAAAAGTGTAAATTATTGGCATCTTTACGTAAAATTACCCATGTTTGAGTAATGTAAGTTATAACAATTAAAACCACCGCCATTTTGAAATTAATTTTTTATCTTTAAATTAAATAAACATATGAAGTTTTCTAAATATCGGTTGGTAAATTTCAAAGTTAAAAATATGTAAAATCAAAATAGCTAATAGCAAAATAGCTGATATCAGGGTAAATAAGCATTTTTAGACATGGGCTACTTTTCATAAGAACGTTTTTCTTTCTTTTCGTTTGAGGAATTATATCCCTTAGTTTTGATACATTCTTTAGGCACCATGTATATTAAAAAGTTGTGTATAACTTAAAAGAATATACGCGTAATATACTTGTGTAATATACCGTAATATAAATAAGGAAGTCGGAGATTCTGTTTTTAATAAAAACTAACATTTTAAATAACTAAGCAAAGCAAGGCTTTATAAAATATTACTGAAAATGAATGCAGAGTCACATCTGCGGGTAGAATTTCAATTTTACAACTGTATAAGCAGCCCTGACGCCCGCTACCCTCCCCTCCATCCATTCCCTACACCGCAGCATCTGCCCATTGTCAAACTGAGATGTTCTTTTAATAAGCTATCCAAAATATAAAATATTACTGTAATATTTACAAAGTATTTGTCAGGTACCTCTCCGAACGGGTTTCGTCTCCTTATTCCGTTTTAATTCTGGTAATGTAGTAAATTCAGCAAAATGTCTGACGACAAAATAGTAAACATCATCTAATTACATTTCTGTAAACCTGGAATTAACAGGTAAAACTTTATTTCATTAACAAAGTTAATTGTGACAGAACCCACTATTAAATCTAGTCTAATGAGGCTAAAATGTTACTGACAACATCTGAGAAAGACCATTTTATCTGTAATTTCTGGTAGTTTTAAGACTATTTCATTTCATTGTGGTTTGAGTAGCTTCCGGATTGCGAATAATAATTAGTGATAGTGGTTTAAACACCTTGTTCTTGCAATCCGATTGCAAACAACAATCGGATTGCAAGAAAAAGATATTTAAACCATTATCACTAACTATTTCATTGTTTGCACTGGAGGCATCAATATTTTGACCTTCCCATAAACCACTGTCGTTCAAAATTGTGAATATAAACTCTTCCCTTGAATAGCATATTTTGACATTCAGTTGTTAACAGAACTAATACTTAAGTTTAAAAAGGTAGAAAGATTCCATTCTAAATTCCTAAAACATAAATGCAGGCATAAAGCCCTACATGTTATGTAGTCATTTTAAGCGGTTTGGGTTAATTATTTCACAACCAATACAAATAACCAAATGACAAGTTTATTATGTTTTTTTATGGGACTTTATATTGCAGACAAAAAAGAACTAAATTAAACCTCATTACCTCCACTTATTATAAAAATACCCAATACTGTTTCCAGTTTCCATTATAATTTTTATTTGTAAGCATTATAATACGAACATTTGCCCAGTTTTTGACCTTTTAAATTCCTTCAGAAATCGCTATATAGACATCTGAGCCATGTATCAAAGCCGACATATTAGCTAACGTGTATCGAAACAAGGAGATGAATAATAATTTTATGTCAAGAAGGTACAATTGGCTATGTGGTATATGGATAATGTCCTTACTCTAAAGAAGTTAAAGAAGTGGTAAAATGTATAATGGAATATTATCGCACAAGTGTGATCAGCAAGAGAAGAACAAAGAAAGAGTACAATGAAGCTGCTGACTAAGCCTTGTTGAGCTACTCAGGTAGATGGGTAGATACACTCCCTTGAGTTTAGAGTATAGACAACCGCCGCTGTTGCTGCTACTCAAGTCACAAAGATTTTTGTATGAGACTCATTTTGTACCGTGAAATTAAAGGAATATAAAAAAATGGAAAACTGGGCAATAGCCTCCAACCAATGTAATTAAAAAAACCTATAACAGTCATGACCCTAGCATCTATATCTAAGGATGTTTAAAAAAAAGTTATAAATAGTTTATTTGGAATAAAATCTGCACATATTTAAATAAACATTGAGAGAATGATCAATCTGTAACGTTCCAAATCCATTAACTAAACATGTGTATTAAAGTTTACTCCCCTTACAACCTTCCCTCTCCACTCAAAAAAAAAACAACCAAAAATAAGAAGAAAAAACTAACCTGAACCAGTTTAGTCTAAAGAAAAGTATTATATGAATTATTTCAAAATCTGTAATATCCCAGAGCGTTGTGTAATCTCAAGGCCTGAATTATATTTTCTCTGTTTCACGGCTTATAATGTATACGAAAAATGTTCAATTATGGGAAGTGACTCTAATAAATAATTTGGAAACCTCAAAATTTACACCTAAAAGTAGTAGGTAAGTAAATAAAGTCTTTGCAAGAGCTTTGTTAATAACTCAATCATTAGGAAATGGCAGTGAAACTATTACTATAGAACAATTAATATATAAGTCACTTTTCTCTGCTTTATATGCACCATTGATTGGCATTAAACATATGTGGACAGATGAATCAGTAATAAAAATATACTAATCTATTAAAACCATACAAATTATGTCAATGCCGAAAATGAGAATACAAACTCTAGTAACCATGTTGAGAACGAGCCAATGTTACGGTCACTGCAACAGTATTGCGTCAGATTGTCGTATTCGTATTACAAATTAAAGGGATTGTCAAAGGGTTGTTACACAGCAGTATAGACATTACTAAGCTGGTCGTCCTACAGATACAAGCCAGTGTTGTGTACACTACGGCAACAATGAGTCTGATTTGTCTCTCGCTAGACGGTTTTTATTTGCGATTTTTGCGAGTAATTGTTTAACGGTCAGACAGCTTCTTTGTTGTTCAACCACCAACAGTGGGTTTATGTGATTAAATAGAGCATTAGATTAAAGAAAATCTCACTCGCCGTGTTGTTGACAACTAGACGGGTTTGTGT